TGTCTCATAAAGTTACTGTTTAGTTATTGTAATTAAGTAACCATAACTTTATCATACTGTATATAGTTTATTTTATATATTTTACATACATGCATACATTACTACAGAGTTCAAACTTTTTGTTACTGTCTCAGTTGTATTTGTATTTCAGTTTGTGGCTAGTTTATCAAATTTAGTAAAATTGTGTTGGAGCGTGCCAGGGATTGATGTCTGCATGATTTGCATGTGCTTTTCTAGCAGTGTATAGCATTGCAAGGGATAAACAATCACTTTCTTGCTGATGTGATGTCAAACTTGTGATGACTTGCTGCTGTGCTTTAGCCCTTTATCTATCATGAGTATAGATAATTGCAATCACAATACATAGAAACACAATGGTTGACTTCTGAGGCCACATTTCTTATTACGTGACAGATTGGCTTAACAGTTCTTTTCGCAACCATATCCTGTATTGTATATCTTATTTTAAATCTGGTTCCTACATACTAATGATATTTAACCTGCAGTTGAGCTGTAATATATTTGCAATTTTGCTGATGAAGTTATGATTATGTTTAAACTGTTATTCATATTTACAACTAGTGTGTAATATTTGCAATATTACAACACCAATTCAGGCTGTTTTTGTATCCAACCAACAGTAAATTGTGTAGCTTTCTTCATGTGCAAAGAAATAGGAGGACAGTGACAGAGAGGGGGTTGTTTTTCAATGCAGGCATGCTTTTCTCCCTTCGGTAAATCCTTTAGTTAGCTTGGTGAGGATTAGGTCTGAAAAGTCTCTCATTTGCCTCCAAAGCCCTCAGGGATTCATTGGTGAAGAAATCCAGCTTCTTCATTGCTTCCATCTGAATTTTAGTTCAGTATTTATTTTATTTATTTTGATTGCAGCCCACGTCTGATTTCTGCTCTCTTTTATACCCTGACTGTCTCCTTGATTAATTTTAGTTTTGCTGCTGGAGGTATTGCACACTAATTTTGAGATATATGAAAGAAGTGTCACATTTGACTGGCTGTCAATTTTAACGTGAGTTCATTTCAGCTTTTATATTTCTTTAGTTTGTGATTGGGTGGAAAAGGTTAGAATAAAGAATTTGAATACATCTTTCTATCACAGACAGGATTCTAAGCCTTAGCAATGGGGCCTATATTTGCACAGGGGCATCACATATACATAGGAAAGCTTAAGAGTGTTGTCTTCTGAAAAACGTTCTTTCCCATACTGTATGAATCACAAAGTACATTGAAAAGACTAGGCTCCCAGTGGAGCTAAAAGCCTGAGGCTATGTGGGATACAGCCTAATGGAAAACAGCTCTGGGATAAAGGTAATAGGTGGTTAAGACTACTGGAAACCATCAATGGGATGAAAGCAACAAGCTTAAAGAGATGGGGTATATCCTATCAAGTGTCTTGACTGATATCGTATTTCTTCCCTAAGGCTAAATTTCACAACTATTCCCAGTGTGAAACAATTCTTGCTCAAAAGGAATATTTGTCAAGTAAGAATCACCCTTTAAATTATATAGATTTATCAATAAGTGGTGGACTTCTATTTCCTGTAACATGGCATATTAATGGATATTACGTTCTCAAGAGATAAGGAATTTCTTCCTAGGTGCAATATAGAGAATGTGACAAAAATTTTTTAAAGTTTTAGAGCTTGAATATGATTTATTGAAAGACTAAAAGTTGAATTTGTTGATATGTTTTCCATTTCAAGTGGTGCTCTTAATTGTTTTCGTCTGGCTTTTATGTGCAAACATAAAACTGTCTTAAAATTGTCATTTGTCAGTTTCCATGTTTTTCTCTTTTTAAAATGTTTCTTTGCTTTTAAGAAAAACATAATGTGAGAAGTTAATGGTCTTTCCATTTGTTTACCAAAGCAGTTGTGAGCGGGTCTGAGCATTGGTGCTATCCTCAGGAATTTAGTCCAAATAAACCAAGATATTTGTTCTAGTGTTTCAGAATAAAAAAAAGTTTGTTGTTCTTCTGTCTCTCCAGGTTTCCCTCTATGGTACCATATGAAGCTGAGTTATGACAGACACAGGGACCTCAAAGAAATATGGGATTAGAGACTATGTTCAGAGATGAGTGGAAGCAAAAGGCAAAGCCATGGCCAGTGATGATATGAACCTCTGCTGTACATCAAACATGTTTGCTTCAGCTTGGGAGAGAGGAGGATATGAAGGGAGCACAATGAAAGAAAGGATGATGGATTATGATCAGAGATGAGAAGAGAGGAAAGGCAGAGTCATGGCCAGTGATTATATAAAAAACCACTCGACATCAGACAAACTCGGTTCCTATGCTTCAGTTTGGCAAATGCTCCATCATTTATGAAGGCGTGCTGGTATCCTTTCTGCTGTTTAAATGCACCCCAAACTATCTACATTTAAAGAGAGGTCTAATCTATATTGTTTTATGTTGATGGTTTTTATGGTAAATGACAGTACTTGTGACAGTCACATTTTCCCATTGAACTCAATTCAGAGCAGTTCAGCAAGAATGCATGGTGAGACCATCCTTCAACTAAAGAACTCCTGATGTCTTGATTAGATGTCCTTGAGGGCTGCTGTTGTCGCCTAGCTCCCTGTGGAGGGTGACAACAGAGGGGACAACAGAAGAGCAAAAAGAGAATAAAATGTCTCCAGGAGTCATTATTTGATGAACCCTGTGGTTTCAGTTGTCTGTATTATCATTGTTTAAGCTCAATACCCTCTGAAGATGCTTTCATAGATAATAGTCATTAATAGTCAATGGTACAGAATTCAGAGAGAGAAAGATAAGGTTCAGTCCATGTACAGGAAAGTCAGGAGTAAAACCACTTTTCAGGAACTGCACTGGTGTGTTATGAAAAATCTGGTTGACAGTCTTACTTTTCAGCCACGTCAGTGGCTGGTGGTGGGTTTCAGATTTATAAATGGGTGATGTTATCATCAGATCTTAATGTTAAAAGTGAGCAACTATGCAGGCTTCCCTACAAAGCTCTAAAATGTAGAATATTTTTCACTTTGCCTTTCCTCATAGTTTTCATAAATTGTAGAGGTGTCACAATTTTAATTCTGAATCTAAAACTGGTCGAAATTAACTTTCAGTTTCAGTCATCGAAATCAAAAGCAGAATTTATTTTTCCTCTCCACCATTGCCTACTACGACACATCTCCAAATGGGGGAAAAAAAACACTCCAACTTGACATTACGGCCACTGTCAGAGTTGGATATGTATTGCAGTTCTTTGATTGACCCTCTTTATCCACTGTCACTACAGTTATCTAACAATTTAAGTGTTTCCACTGGTAACATTTTATCTGTGGTATGAAGCGTTTAACCCAACTATGCTTTAAAGAATGTTGAAGGACACCATTGTAACACTGCATGAACATGGACGTTTTATTACTCTTCTGTGACACTGAACACAAACATCCATTCTATTATACTATATTACTGTAACTATTATGCTTATCTCACCATGTTATGGCTAAAGTAACTTAACTACCCCTATAGCATTCACTTGCTTAAAGGACCAGTGTGTAGGAATTAGTAACATAGCGGTGTAGTTGCAGATTGCATCTCCCTTGCTTCACCCTCCTCTTCTAAGCACCAAGGAAAAACTATGTTGGCTGTGAAACTTGTGAGAACATGCATATGGCCCTATCTAGCGTCAGTGTTTGTTTTATTCATTCGGGCCTACTGTAGAAACAACATGTCGGCCTCCATGGAATGCAACCCACTGCATCTCTACATATATATAAGGCAGTTCTTATTTTATTTACAGGTGATCATACACCAATATAAACATTACTATGAAAATGATATATATTTTCTGCTAATAGATCCTCCTAAATGTTACACACTGGACATGGTAGGTTTTTGCAGTTGACTTTTTGTTACCAATTAACTGATGAAATAGGTTGTTATATTTTAAATGAATAATTTAACCATATGGCCTTAGTGTGGTACATTCCTAAGGTTATATCATACTTGATACCTTTTTAAATAATAATTTGAGCATGTAAATGACAGTTGTCAGGGCATAAAACCAGTGATCTGTTAATCTTTACATATCAAGGCTAGATAATCTAACAATGGCATAGCCATTAGTGCTGGAAAAAGATTTCAATCTAATGGTGGATTTTGAGAATAATGACACCCCAGATAAATTCTGTGCTGCTGTGGCACAAAATGCCTGCAGCTATTAATGCTCTGGCTGAAATACTGTAGCAGAGAAACACATTGAGCCAGTGCAGTGTAGAGTTAAATTAAAATAGTATTGACCGTGCTACAACTTAATACAGCAGTGTCCCATGAAGACCCGGGCCCAGCAGCCACAACAGCAGATCAAAATGCCAAGCTCTCCACAGGGAGGCCATGCCAGGCTAGAGGCTGTTTTACATTCTTGGGTAGTGCCTCATCCTCCAACATGGGGTTTCTAGAGTGGCAGGCGGCTGCAGTTTTATTTTCTAGCATTACAGACTGGCCTCTGCTGCTGTAGGGTAGCTTTTTTTAAGTAAAGCGTCCTGCTGGAGCCTGATCTCTTCGACTCCCCCTCACTGTATCATTAAGCCAGAGAGAAGTGTGTGAAAGTCAGTGTCTCTCAGCTGGGGATCCTCTTTGGTTGAAGCCTCCTGTTCCCTATGGGAGGTAGTCTGGTTACTGTATTCTGGTTTAGGGTTCTCTACCCTCCTATTGGGCATTTCTTTAAGAGAGTAATTTGTGTTTGTGAAAATATTGGGCCATTTACAGGCTTTTAAGATAGTCAGCATTCTAAATACATCAGATTATATATTCAAGGGAGCAAACTTAATTTTGTTTTTCTGTCAAATCTCCGGGATCTCAAGCCTCATTGGTGGTCTTTATTTAGATTTTATCTCGTGAAGATTTTGTCTGAAGAAAAAAGAGGAAGACAATTATTTGAAGAAAAAGTAACATCTAATGAGTCTGCTCTTTGTGTCTTTTCTCTCTCTTTCTCTTCCATGAATTCCCTTTGGACCTTCCCCTGAAGCTGAAGAGTATGCTGTTGAAGGTAAGACTGATGCTTTACTCTTCAGGCCCTCTGATGGCTTCCCTTATTGCTGTCATGGATGCTGATGCTGGTTGCTTGTTAATACTGTGTGCGCTCCCTATGGGGAGGATCATTGTCAGTTTGGACTGCGGTTATAAGTGACTTCCAGGGGGCCTAAATTACAGTTTCCAAATAACACAAAAGTGACGGATGTACAACCAAAATGATTTCTATTTTACCTCTTGTTTATTTTATCTTGTCTTTTTTAAATTTCATTTTGTTTTTATTGTGGTTTATCCCTCTCTATATTAGCATATGGTTGTAGGAATATATTCATGCACTTAAAAAATAGAAAAATGTCAAGGCAGCCTGGCAATCTTGAGTCAATTTACCAGATAACAAGGTTTTGTTAAAGTTAACAAGATATAGGAAATGGTGGTTTTGAGATGCTGTCTTCCTGCTTTCCTCCCGTTCCTATCTCCAAAAAAAGGTGAACGAAGGCTGCCAGTTGGGGAGCCCTGAGGGGCCTCATTAGCCCTTGGGCCAGGCACCAAACCAGTGCTGGATGTAGCAGACTTTATGGATAGATCAGCCTTAGCTTGTCTGTCTGCAGGCTGCTGCCTGTTTCCACTTTGCACTGTTCAGGATAAGATTCACCGGCTGGTTGACTGAGTCTGTTTGCCAGTCAAATCAGACACTCAGATGGACAGACAAGCTTTTTGGAATCGATGGGTTAAGTAGTGAACAGCTGCCTAGGTATGGGTGTGTGCGTATGTTTGCATGTTTTGGAGTTGCTTTTTCTTCTTCTTCTTCTTGGTATGTAGAATTCTTGTACTTAGACTGTTTGAAACTGACATATTTTCAGTTTTCCTACATGAGTGAGAGCAAACTTCTTCTAATTACTGCGTGTGCGTACACGTCTACGTCTGTGTGATGTCCTTTTAGTTGGGACCCATGCCAGTACCACTGAAGCCCTTGATAGGGAAGTGTCAGGGGGAAGGAAGGGAGCAGGATTAAATGGTGGCAATTGCACATTTCTGTCTGATGGTGGAGCCCGTCCAGACTGATGTAGAGTGAGGAGAGGGGCAGGAACGCTTTGTAAGAGAAGGAGAGAGAGAGGGAGGTGGAGAATGGGAAGAGAAGGCTGGTGTAGAGGAGTGATTTTACTCTGTGACAGTCCCAAGAGAGGGCAGACAACTCCTGAGCCACCCTGGAGTCTTCTGTTAACTTGCTGCTAACTCTAACACATGTACAGATGTACAGTTAAGTGTTATTGTACAAAGTAGTGTAGCAAAGTACCAAATATTGTGGGCTGTTTTATGTCAAGGCAATGTCACTCAGGCCTTATTTTTTATCTCAGCTCTTGCAGTTTTCTTACTGATCTGAAGTATATTCTGCAGATATTTCTTTGTACTGGGCAAGGGCATGTGTTGTAGGTTAAGCTTACTATTAATTATGTGGGCTCCCAGCAATTTGAGAGGGGAACACCTCTCCTTGTGCAGAGGTCTAGGTGTTTCCTCCAGCAACACCGTAACTCTAATATAAAATATCCCTTGGGTTTTTTAAGAATATTTTAAAAAGCTTCGGAATTTATTTTGACTCCAACACATACTCCAGGGTCAGAAAACAAAAAGTGTTTTATGCTGATACTTAATATAACTTGAGTCCTAAAATCTAATTGCTAACACCTCAATTAATGTGTGCTCTCTAAAGCCATGTCATTTAATTAAAAACAAGGAGTTGTGTTCCCAGTTCCCAGTGTATTTTGTATCAACAAGACAGCTCGATAGATTTATTTAATGGCCCATTGTCTCTGATACCAAACCCTCAGAGTGCTACTGCACTTCTTTCTTCTATTTTTAGGGTTTCCCTGTGAACGTATTTGGTCTAATTAGTGTCGGTGACCATGTGTTCAAAGGTTGGTTGAGATTGATGATGCAGAGTGATGCTGAAAGCCCCGGGGAGACCAGTGCCCCTGCAAGGCGGCCGGTGGCCCTCACTCTTACACTGTAGGGCCTCAATTGATGATCTGCCTGCGACACTGACCTGTTTTTACCGGCGAACCAGCCGCGCATGGCCATCTGTGTACTGATCGCCAAACATGTCCTATCCCTTGAGGACTGCGCGTGTGATATATAGTTTCATTATGTAAGCACAGGTTTACCTCATAGCCTGGTGCAGAGGTGTTCCTGTAGAGGCGAATACAGAAATGGCTATAAAGTTTGAGGCAGAGGTAGCCTAGAGGACAGGTGAATGGGTTTATGACCTAGAGGTAACCATTTTATCCACTTGGATCTATTTGGAGGGTGGGCTTGTGCAAGGCATTGAACTTTGAAGAAATACTGTTTTGGTATTGATTTATATTTTTGATATGAATGTATGTAAATGTAAAGCTGACTATGCCTGGTTGAGAAATTGTTGCAAAAAAGAAAACTGAAGAAATAATACATTCCAGAGGCATTAAAAATGCATGTTGTTCATTCAGATGCTGAAGGATACCCATTTAGAATTTTCCTCCAACTGATGGTCTGACAGACCATGACCATGACCATGAACACGGCCGAAAGAGAAATGGCTCATCTACAGTTGGACAGTAACAGATCCAACCTAACCCTGGTCAGTGTGACTGGCCTCTGAGACTGGCTGATAGATTTTGTGACCTGGTGCTGTGTTTGGGTGAGGGAAGTTCTGAGCTGCCCACGCTGATCTTAATCAATCTGATCAAGGCTAATGATCTTTTCTTTTTGAGCTACGCAGACCTCAAACTTAATCTCACCCTCGGGGGAGGGCAATAACAATTTTTTTTCTTTTCCCCGGCGTAAAAAATGGGGTTTGATGTTGGCTAGAGATACAGGATTATAGATTTGAGTGGGGCCTGTAGTTATAGGAGATTACTTTGGATCATCCAAACCAGATTATGGATTTTGTTATTTGCTCAGGAGAAATAAAACAAAATCATAGACCAAAAACTTGAATGTTTTCTAAATGCGTGTGCATTAAGACAACAGGGATCAAGGAGAAAACACACAGTAAAGCAAATATTAAATGCATTGATGTCATTGTGGTATTAACCTAGATTTTGTTTATTTCTGGAACAAATGGTTCTTGTACGTGATCCTTATTCATATTCTAACTGTTGTTGTAATTTGGAATACCATTGGCTAAAAGGCTGACCACCTGGTTGATGAAAACTGTTTTGATCTTGCCAAAAAAGAAGACATTGTAATAGCAATTGAGAATGATAGGCATTCGTTTATATAACCGCATGGCATAACAACGCTATTTGTCCATTCTTTCCGATCAATAAAGCTTAACTCTGCATTTTTCATTGAACGCACAAGAGATTTGCAGTGTTCAAACAAAGCAATCGATTGTGGAAGATTGCTGGCTAGCTTTTTACTGTCAAGCACTTGAAAAGAACAGGCTGCAAATAAACCAACACACATGCACAGAGTAACCTCATTGCAAGGAAAAAATTACCAAGGAGTGGAAGTGTGGAACAGAAGTGAATGGTGTCTTTAGCTCTGAAATTGCTCAAGAGCCTTTGGACAGTAGGATGCCTTGATGTTGCCTCTGCTTGCCCAGTCTGCCAGATGTTGCAGTAAGATTAAGCATCCTCAGGTCTTGGAGGAGTCCAACCATGCCTGTTCTCACAAGACGTTAATTTCACCCCACTCAGCTCACACTCTTTTTTTCTCTTTCTATTTTTCTGCTGTGTGATAACAAAGTCTAGAGGGATGGAGTGGGCGTCCACTTGTGAGCAACTCCAGATGCTTCAGTGTCAACATGCGTGGCCACAGGCTGTTTGCTATGATGTAGAGAGAAATGGATTGGACAATGCATGGCCTGAAGCTCTGGTGTTGTGTGGTGTTTGTGCTTGTGTGTGTGTGTGTGTGTGTGTGTGTGTATATAAAGAAGAGCATTAGGTGTGCCAGATTTTGCTGCTTTTCTTGAGTTTTTCTTTGTTTGCTTTTGCATTTGCAGACTAGTACAGAGCAGTAAAACCTTTAAATGGCTACTAGCTAAGCCTCTATCTGATACTTCTATACATACAGTAAACACTATATATATAGTTGGGTTTTTAAATCATGATGCTTTTCAAAGAGCTTCATCAAATTAGATTATTTTGATTTATATGATCTTTTCTATTTCGAGTAGCTGAAAGGGTGCAGCAGACCAACCACCACTGTTTTTTGCATATTACATTTTGCATGACTTTTTATAAATTAAACACTTTTAGTTGACTGTTTTCCCTCTACCCACCACACACAAGTCATAACTTCAGCACTTCTACTATACAGTGACATACTACAATGAGCTTTGAAAGGGATTTTAACGCTTTCTTCAAAGTAGTCGTTTCCCCTGTGTACTAAAATGAAAATTTGTTGTGCACCTCTGTGCCATTGTTGCTTTTGAAATAGGAAAAAAAGACAGTCTTTCATGCATTTCCCAATGGATTTTGGGGTTATGGGGTATTTGGAGTTTATATAGCCTTGTCTGTCGTTTGGTTGTCTTCACCAACTAATTTATGCCCGGTCAGGGATACAGTCTTAGTAAGCCTCCTCTTTTTTCGATCCCTCTACAGCTACCACTCTATGATTTTTTTCTCTCTTCCTCTCCCCTTATGCTTCCACCTTTTTTAGCTTTGGCCCTGTCTCTTCAATCTCCTGATTTGTCTTCTTGCCACCTCTACTTTCGACATCTCTTCCTTGCTTTCCTTCTACCAGTTCTCTCACTCTTTTTCTCTGTCCTCTCTTCTTCATCTTGATCACCTTCTTCCCTCTTCTGGGAAGATAAACTTATAGGTTGTAGCTAAGAGGCTTATTGGTTAGATGCCCTTTATAGGAAGCTGTGAAATGCAGCTTTACTGGGCTATTGAAGGCTACATAGAGTAGACCGGGGAAGAGACTGCAAAGAAATAAGAAGTGGACCCAGTTTGAATTATTATTGCCCACACTGTGTATTTAATGCTGTGATATTTAGATTATAACTTGCTTTTACAGCTATGAAATGTAATTGAA